AAGAATATTCGGGTTACAAAAATTTAATACACTTGACATATACATATATATTTGATGTTTTCTAAAATACTAAATGTAGTAATTCAATATATTTGATTTTGGCGATTATTTTGCTTCTTTGATTACAGTACGAAACAGTCGATCAAGCTAAACAATATTTCATTTTTGCTACAATAAAAGACTCAATGAATTTATCAACTTATACAAGAATATATTAATGATATTACTATTAGGAAAAACCACAGGTTCGCCTGATATTTGTTCGACAAACTTGCTTTATCAAAAGTTTATAAATACGTCAAGTCTTCGATTTTCAAAGAACGATTTTACGAATTTTTATTTGTAAGATCTTTTCAAAGTACGATTTTACGAATTTTTATTTGTAAGATCTCTAAATGTCACCAAGATCAAATAGTCCCTTAGAATACAGACACAACACGACTAAAGCGTGTGATTCTTGTAAACGTTTAAAAATTAGATGCAAGAATGTAAAATATTTCGCTCATTCTACAAAGTGCAGTGAATGCATGAAACGTAATTATGAATGCGTTTATTCTGTTCAACAAAAAAGACGTGGGCCAAAATTAAAGAAAGACAGTACAAATAATGAAAAATCTGTCGCACCTAATAACGATTCTTCTCGTAATGAACATCAAGTTGACGAATTGTTTCGTGGGCTATCACAGGAGGAAATAAAGCTCGTTTCCAACTTGTTTAACTCGGAACAGTTACCTCATATGTTAGATATTCTCACCTCTACTTCATCATTGCCATGTCCATATGAAAATATTGAAGGTCATTGTTGCCATAAAGGCTGTATTGTGAGATATAAAAACAACTAAATTTATTATATCGATTTTTGAATTCACCGTTATTATCGATTTTCGAATTCACACCATCATTATGTCGTATTAGATTTCAAAGTTCGGCTTAGTCTTAAAAAAATTGATTTATTTATCATATGTTATTAAAATTCATTTTTCTACACATATCATTCATTATCAACAAAACGATAGATTTAATTTAGATATATATTACGGAAACAATATACAATATAAAACAACGATTACATCGTATAACTTGCTCGGATAACAATAGTTGTAGGGTTATGCACATTATGTGAAAATGTGCATTATAAGAGGTGTGTGATTGACATGTATACGAGTACATTTACATTTTGAATTCTCTTCGATAAATTTAACAACAATAAGTATAGTAAATTATCCGATAAAAAATTCTTTCAAGATCAATATCGATATAGCGGTTAGGATATATAAAGATCATTTATCATATGCTTTTTTTCAAATTAAGCTTTATTAAGAAAATAAAGATATGCTATTATTAAAGTTTTATAAACAATTTTGTAATATATAAATCGAATTTTTTTATGAATTAATGAATTTGTAACCATAGGTTACTGTAACTAAGATCAGGTGTAACGTGACTATTGAAACAAATTTAATTTTATAATCTTACCCTTTTGGTGTAATTGATTATTTAACTAAATTAGTATCGTGATTGTTAAAGCCCTCGAAGGAGGCAGTGTGCATGTTGACATGAGGCTAACACGATAGCGTGGTGCCTCTGATGTCATAAAGTAGGTTCCAGAATATGTTCTCTTTCATATTAATCAATAATTCTAATAAACTAAAATTTCACGATTAAGGTAAGGCTTGGGTTAGGAAAGGCATAAAGTTATATCAAAATTTAGCAAGAAATTTTTTTTGTTAGAACATAAAAGATGGTTTATAGTCAATTAGGGTAGCTGCGCGACGCGTGACGCCGCGCAGGACCAGTACGATCATGTATTACATGTAAATTCGGACTATT